CCCCCTCTTATCACCTGTGTACTCTGAACAGCTTTCATGGGACCAGACACACAGGCTGTCCTTTAGAGGTTTGGCATATAAAATCCATCATGTGCAGACACACAGAGCTGCGTGCAACAAGAAGACATCCTCCTACCTGCACATCAACAGCATGTTCTATTAAAATCTCTCCTTCAGTAGAAGGTCGTGGTTTGTATTAGGGGCTGACTCTACGGCTGTGGTCCATAATAAGGGACATTATTAGGGGCCTTTGGGTGCCTGTCTTCCTTTGTGCCTGCAGGATCCTGCCTGCTAAACAGGGAGATAGCTTCCTCATTACCTCCTGAAGACATGCAGACAAACAGCTCACAAGAGCACTAATCACAAGCACGCTATATGAAACAATTAAGGGTCACTGAACAGCAGATTTTGTGATACAGGTTTTTTTAAGCATAAATAGCCAAGAAGCAAACACGCTCCCTGTGTAAGTCCATCTCGGATTGCCCAGGAACTTCAGTACTTGAGAGTGTTATGTCCTTGAATGCATCAAACACACATACAAAGCTTTGCCTCAGCAAAGCAGAGGAAAAGCAAAACATTCTGCTCTGTGTAATATCGAAGGCTCTTTCACAGAACCCAAGCAAATCATAGTGAATTATGTTCAGTGAATAATTAGCAAATAACCTGTTAGGGGCAGCAGCTGAATGTTGTCGGGAGCCACTAATGAATAGTCTCACAGTCTTGGCCTAGGTTAGATTAGAAGGACGCCATTAACATCAACTCATCTGTCTGGACATCTGACACATGAAAGGAGACCCATCCAACCAGTAATCATACAGTTGGTCTCCCTTTTTGCATTGTTTATTGCTTGATTATACCGTTTACTTTGTATACTATGCAGCCTTATGTTGGTATATTGTTTACTTGCCCCTTGCTGTTGCCTTGCATGGGGATATGTGCATGCACACTGAGAGCCGCTGTACCAGATTCAAATTCCTCATGTTCAACACACCTGGCCGATAAAGCTGATTCTAGATTACGTACTGAAACATAATACTGATGCACATACATATAAAAATGACCATTTTTATATAAATATTTTGTAAATCAAATGTTTCCCACAGTGGCCTTGGCTGGTGACCCTTTAGAAAGGTCAACTTGCACACCCTGAGATTGTTCAAGTGTTTTCAAATGGGTTTTTTTAGACGTGGGTTTTTTTTTTTTTTTTTTTTTTTTTTTTTTTTTTTAAGAGGCTGTAATTTTGAGAAATATACCCGTTTGCTTTCTAGAAGAGTTAGGTGAGAATATTGATACCACTCACCTAGCAGTTTGAAGCTACAGGAGTAGCTAGTTTGCTTATCTTAGATTAACTAGCACAAAGACTGGAAACAAAGGGAATTTAGCCTGGCTCTGTACAAAGACAACAAAATCATCTTAATTAACATTGCATCTCTGTTTAATCCACAGGCAAAGTGCAAAATTTACAGGTCATCAATTTACATGGGGTTATGTGCATGACTGTTCCCTGACTGAAACTATTAACTTCCTTGAGCCTCGGCTAGTTCCCTGGCAACTGCTCGGAGCCAACAAATAATCCACATAAAATGGTGAACTGTCACTTCTATTCTTAGGTTTGTGTAGAGATTAAACAAACAAGATATTACATGTTAATTAGTAAGTTTTATATGTGCTGATATTTGGATTTTATTACTTGTGAACTGAGCTAGAATAGCTGTTTCCCTATTTCCAGCCATTATGCTACGCTACAATATCTGGGTGCTATTTAACAAAAAAGTGGTGTCAGTTTTCTTATCTGACTCTCTATGAGAAATTAGCACGTTTCCCAAAATGTCAAACTACTCCTTAAATACTAGTCAAGTTTATAGCTTCAGGTTTCTATAACGATTGAAATTAAAAACATTGAGAAGGTAAAATTTAAGATGATTTAAGATAAATGGAAGCTGGCTTGTAGACTTATACTGAACAGATTTAAGAGTACTATCATTAGTCCTATCAGAAAGACAAGCATTTTCATAATGTCAAACAATTCCAAGTAAAAAGCAAGATTTAAAGAAATTACAGATTCCCTAGTTTAGCAATTATTTTGTGACCCATCTTAATTATTTTATGGGCCCCTTAGATGGGTACTGATGTCTGGGGAACCACTGGTCTTATACAGTACAAAAACTAGCATTAAAAAGATACTGAAGGTATAATAAATTTATATCACTCAACCCAAATCAAACCAATTTTGTTATTTAGACAAAATCCAGCATTTATTAATCCATCTTCAGTGCACTCACACAGTCAGCACAGACCAGAATACTATGAAACAGGCTTTTACATTGTCTGTACAGTGCAAGACAATCAATTAATATTTGTTTATAGATACACCACCATATGAATGTTCCTAAAAAAATATGTATATCACAGCCAAAAGAGCCCTCAGAAAATGAGGACATACATATACTGTCAGCCTTTAAGCATTCACACTATGGGTAATCCTCAGGAAGAAGTCAACATATTCTGATCACACAATCCAAAAAGCTGTCTTACCACTATTAACTCCATGAATAACTCTTCTTTAGAGGAGGTCCATCAACCAAGGCTAAATGATATGACTACAAAATGTTCCCAAAGGAGGCTTTGAAATTGTTGGATCTTAATGTGGCTCCAACCTTTCACGATTTATTAGTTTCTTCTTGTCATTCTCAGTGTTATATTTACATGAATGTGAATGTGGCATACTGCTAATTCACTGCAGAGATGTTTTGTACCGAGTCCATGTGTATTTCATATTCAAGGATCCAAACATCCATATTATTTTGTGGCCTGTCTGCTAGATTTGCATTGAAAACAATGCATTATGATTAAATTCCACTCTGCTTTTTTAGTGTTACTCAAACAAACGTACTGCAAAACAATGTTTTGTTATTCTGGATTATATCTGTGATCATCTAATTGCAGAAGAAACTGCAATATGTACACTACGCACATAATATAAAAAGAAAGCTAGAGGTGTAATTTATTTGTAAAATAATTTAAAAATATCAAATGACTACACATTTTGTGTCAAAATCAAGGCATGTATAAGTCATTATGTATACTCTCATCTGTTTCCAGTGCAATGGAAGATGTCAATAAACCTGATGTCAAAAATGACGAGGAGGGGGCAACCATGTTGACTAACAGATGTCTTGCACACAAGTATGTGATATACCAGGTCTCTTATGCTTGGCTTCAGCTGAAGCAACTGGCATGGAAGCTCCATCTCTGGACACCAGCCAGTGCTAAACACACTTGCTCCCTGTTCTGCTCCTCCTCCTTCACTTTGGCAAACAGTGGCCTTTACTCACATGAGGAGGAGGAGGAGGGATCGTCATGTGGGTGGAGGTTTGGCTGGAGTGGGAGTGGGTAGTGGGGAAGCACCACCCCCTCCCTCTCCAGTACGGCACAGACCAGGGATTCCAGCGAAGGCCATCTGTGAGGGATAAAGAGACATGAAGGTGGCAGCTTCTCTCAACAGGAGCAGTTCCCACAGCCCTTCACACTGTTGAGGATCTCCTCCTGCAATTTTCTCCTCTCCTCCTCTTTCTGGGACAGGCGCTCAGCTGGCGGCTCGGGCGAGCTCTTGCTGCTGTTCAGGATTTTGCGGTTTTGGGTGTTCCACAGGTCTGCATACAAGCTGCCTGGACTGCTAAGGAGGGTATGGTGGCTGCCTCGCTCTGCCACTTTACCCTGGAAGAGAAGGAGATGAAAATCAAGATAAAAAGAAATATTAAAAACAGCAAAAACAGAAAACATGGCTGCAACACACATAAAGTGAACCTGAAGGGGCCTTATATACAGACAGTCCTATAGTTAGCTTCTTGTCATGACCACACAACACTGACCACACTCTCTGCGGAGAGTCAGCTCCTCCCTTGAATCCCTACCGCCTCCCCAACAACTGTTGCATTCCTCTTGCAAAAACATGGACTCGCAGACACACACGCGCATCCACACACAACAAACACACATACCTCCCACACAGTCAAACACAAATGAAGGCACCCCCTTCCCCCACCTCCCATGAGCATGCAGATGAGCACGTGACCGCTTCCGCTCGTTTATTTTAATGAGCACCCCAGGCAGTCCTCTGCTGGTGACACCACCAAACGCCATGGCGACACTACACGCAAACATGCCTCCTCGCTACGACCCTCTGATCCCTGCCATCTGACTCTGGAAACATGGACCAACACACTCCCACTCGCCGCAGTTCAAAGAAACCTCATTTTATCCTATCTGACTCGAGCACTGGTGGAAAATGTCACTTCACCTGTGTTACATTTCATATTAGCACTCACTTTCGAGACAATAACTGACTTTACCGTCTCCTTTTGTGTTTTACAGAATCTCCAAGCCCAGCCCATTAAGTACTGCAGCATTTTTCTCTTCACTTGGGTAATTCTCTGATGCACAATACAGAGACACTGCACCAAAAAGATTCACATTTCCACAATGACAAAAACATCATGTCTTTATCTCTGTGGCACCTGTAGGCTAACTTTACCAAAAGCTATATATATATATATAAATCGTTTGAATGGCGATCTCCACTGAAAGACATGTTTAGTCTTGGATAAGGCCTCATCAGTGTCTGGGAAGCTGGCCCATACATTATTAGTCACTGAGACAAACAAGACACGCCATCTGACCAAAACAGCCAGTCGAGTCTGACTGCTTTAATGAGCCCTTATGGAGAAAATAATACACTCACTTCTACTAACAGTGTCCTGTTGTTGCTGAAGTTAATGAGAAAAGCTAAACAAGGCATGTCTTCATCACGTACGTTAAAGAAAGGTAACTAAAAATAAGTGAAAGGCAAAACAGAGGCAACTTGCTAAATTCTTGTTGCAGGCAGACACAGTGCACCGAGGGTCAGTCACGCAGAGTGCGGGTCATCATCCTTCACTTAAATGCAAAATCATCTAACTGGACTGGCAATTAACACAGTGCATGTTTATACTCAGGAACTCTGATCTGCCATATAATTAGCTGTTTATGAAGCTTACACAGTACATGAAATGTTAAGCAGGGAAGGTATGAGATCATGTAAACTGGAAGAGGTCTTACTTCACTGAGAACTAGAATTTCGTCTGCATCTATGGTTGTGGTGAGCCTGTGGGCAATGAACACTGATGTCCTGTCCTTCACCATTTCTTTCATTGCACTCAGGATGTTCTGGGAACAAAGACAAATGACATTATCACTGATATTTATAACAGTATTCCCCTAATGCCAAATCCAAAGGGAAATAGTTCCCCTGGTTTATAATAATGATGGTCTGCAAAAATAAGAAGGAAAAAAGTGCATGAATGACAGGATATATATGAACTATACTGCCAAACTTTGAAGCAGCTAAGTCAACACAACGTTGCTCAGCAACATCCACCTTCATATGTTTTTCTTTGCAATGTTTACATATGATAATTTAAAAACACCATCCTGACGAGAAGTAACAGAAAATCTTAATTACCAACCACTTCTAGTGCCCCACTCTTGTTCCTGAAGTTCACAGAGGACACGCTGAACTTTCTCATTAAATGTAACATTTACAAAGACTGTGGGGTTTAAGCTGAGCTGGAGATTAAGTAGGAGAAGACAGTGGCAGGTGGCAATGAAGAACATGGGGGTGGTGTGTGTGTGTGTGTGTGTGTGTGTGTGTGTGTATGTATGTCACAGCAGGTATGTGACGCAGGAGTGAGCTGAATTATTGTGAACCTACAGCAGGTGACTGAGTGGGTGTTTGTTCTGCTAAATGTGTATGCAAGCACGGCAAGGTGTCAACCTGTACGTGCAGCAGAGAACGGACACTTGTGTGTATGTTGTGTATGCATGCCTGTCTGTCAGCGTGTATGCCTTCATGTACTGTCAGGCCCACCTCTTCTGTGATGGAGTCAAGAGAAGATGTTGCTTCATCATACAGGAAGATGGGTGGATTCTTTAGTATTGCACGGGCGATAGCGACACGTTGCTTCTCCCCTCCTGAAACAACATGCCAAATGTCATAAATAAAAGTAAAGCTAGAGTCAAAAGGTTTGAAATATTCAAGCGCACAGAGGGTCTCCATCTGGCCTTTCTCATCAGATAATTACTTCAAATAGGGGACCGACACTGACATTGCAATGCTACGGGCTTCAGACTGTTAAAACAGAACCTTCATTTATTTGTGAAGAAAAATCAGCAAGGCACAAAGACTTCTCCCACTGTGTCTGACTCGGCCTTTATTACTTATGAGCTCTGTGTGGCCTCATGAAAGCAGTGTTCAGCAGATATAAATATTGCTGGTGCTAGAAAACAGCAATGAAGGAAGTTAGGAGGCTCACAGCCCAGAATGCCCCCCCTCACCAAAACTCACTGGCAGCTGTCACGTACAGCAGCAGTGAAATTAATGAGAACTTAGTCATGTCTGTATTTTGTCCATTCTCTCACTCACTCAGTCACTCCACATAAAAGAATCTCTGCTGCCAGTAATTGCGTCTTGAATGTTGAGTGAAAGTGCTCACACACTGTGTTTACGTGGGCTAAATGAAATGCAGAGTGGTGCTAGGAGCCAAATACTACAGTCTTGTGCTATTGGTGCAGATCAAATGAGGATAACTAATGGTTAGTCAACATGCCCATTAAACAAGTTCATGCACAACACAGGAGAAAACGATAAAATAATCATGGTGGAGCTAGAGATCAAGTACCATCATGAATTAACGCCATAAAATAAGGTAAAATCTAATCATGACATGAATTTTAACTATTGTCTACTTTTTATGACAACGGCTCATAATAACACTTTTATATTTAACTAATTCAAGTGCTATATTTATGTAAATATTTCAAGATTATTTGGAGCTGTGCAAATTTATTGTAAATCTTCCAGGGCAGCACCTTATAGCGTCTCAGTTCATTATACTCATGCTTCACTCACTGTCCTTTCTCACATTCAACACGTAAACTACCATTCCTGATACAGTACATAACCTGGAGAAGAGATGGTGGACATTCAAGAAGATGTGTGGAAGACCTGACATAATCAAATATCAAAACATTTCATGATCAACAATAGTGTGATGATATTCTGTGCAGGACTGTCTACTTTAACAGAAGTACTGTGAGATCACAAAAACATTTGTCAATTAAGTTCAACACCTAGTTTTATCATTTTACCATAAAGCAATCACCAAGACTGGAAAAACAAAGTCATCAATCACCATTTTAATAATAAAAAAAATAATCACTGAAGTTTTTTTAAAGCAAAAAAGCCTAGAATTCACTGGCACAGGCTTTTAAAAATGGTAATATTTGCTGGGTTTGTATTTCTTTTATGATTATTAAATGGTTTGATTTCAGACTGTTTCAGCCAAAATACAGTTTGAATATGTCAGTTTGGGCTTCACTATACTGTATCTCAAATATTCAAACATTTAAATTGAGAAAATAATGAGCAGATTAAACTATAATGAAAATAATAATTGATAATATATTTCAGAAATAGAGGGTCCCTGATGGACTAGTGGCTAGGATTCAGCGCTCTCGCCACTCCGACCCGGGTTCGATTCAGGGTTGCAACAGGAAGGGCATCCGGCGTAAAACGTGCCTAATTTCAACATGCGAATCCTCAGTGTGATGATTCACTGTGGCGACCCCTAACGAGAACAGCCGAGAGTGACAGACAGAATATATTTCAGACAATAATCCCATATCACTGTACCCTGTCAACATATTTCCCAGCTCTTGTTGAATTTCTCTACACTGAAATGATCGTATTAGCAGCCGGTGATCGAGACAGAAGCTGGATTTTTCTTTTTATTCCCTTTAGTATACCAGCCAGGGAAACTGAGAAAACACACAGCTCTTTCACTCATGTGTGCAGAGAGACCATATTTAAACAGTACTCGTATAATGGTGCAGCAAACCTGACAGCTTGAGGCCCCGCTCCCCAACCTGGGTCTCATAGCCATGGGGCATCCTGAGGATAGCATCATGGATGCCTGCTAGACGTGCTACTTGATACACTTCCTCTGGTGTGGCATGTAAGTTCCCGTACTGCAGGTTGTAGAAGATGGTGTTGTGGAACAGAACAGCATCCTGACAACAATACAGTTACAGCAAAAAATGATCCCTTAGAGAATGTTTTAATGTAACAGAGACAGAAATACAAGACTGCAAATACAAAGACAGGGGAAGGGAAAAAGAGGAAGAACACAAATGACAAAATACTGTTCATGAACCATCTGTTCAGATCAGCCTCTGAGCTCACTGCAGTAAAAAGCTAACTGAATTCAGTTTCTTTCTAAGGCTGTTAACTATTAATGTTGCATTGATCTATGCTGCCCCCTTGTTGTATATAATTACCAACAATAACTACCAAATATATTACCTCTAGTATTAAAAAGAAATATAGTATCTAGACATGAACATTTCTTTTGGGGTAAAGAAGCTTCAAAAACACAAAAGGAATATATTGGGTGCTGACAAATAACTTTTGCATTGTTTGTTTTCTGTTTATGTTATTGTGTGGGTGTGTTGCAGACCTGAGGTACGACCCCCAAAGCCTTCCTTAGGCTGTCAAGGCTGACATCACGGATATTCTGCCCCCCTATGTAGATGTTCCCCCGCTGGGGCTCATAGAAGCGGAACAGCAGCCGCACAATGGTGCTCTTCCTGCAACCAGACGTGTAACCAATCGTCAATCAGCGTCATTCTGTCTGTGAGCTGCACCCCCACCGTCTACTGATGATATCTGATGATAAGACTGACTGCACATACAAATGAGATGACACACTCCTGGCTACAGGTTTGACAGTCAGTGTACTTCTAGGAAAGCTGACCTACCCTGATCCGCTGCCGCCAACTATCGCCACCTTCTTCCCAGCAGGCACTTCAAAGGACACTCCATTTAAGATTTTCTGGCCATCCAGGTATTCAAAATACACATCCTCGAAGCGGATGGTGGCCTCCTGTGGTGTGATGGCTAATGGCGGGGCAAGATCCCTCTCCTAGAACACACCATCAGAGGGTTGAGACAGACGAAACGGAAACAGAAGAGACAGACACAGAACACCCACTGGCAGAAAAGGCCTGGAATGATGCAATGCTACTCCAACACCTTGTAAAGAGGGATAATGCTGGAGCACAGCACTTACACAGACTGCATTAACCAAAGACATTCACAGCAAATTCAAGGGGTCGTTTCAAAAGACAGTCTGAATCTTCACAAGCTGCCCTTCATGGCGACTGAAGGATCAATAGGCGTGAAAACTTTCGGTACATACTGAGCTGTTGAGATGCAGCCAAGGTCAGCAGTGAATAAAGCACTGTCCTTACCCTGAGAGTAAAAGCCCGTTCTGCTTCGTGTCTATACTACCTAATAGCAACATAATAACCCACAATCCACCTCAGCCAATTAATACTAATAACTTACAGTCCATTAGCGTAAACAGATGATAATTTCACACCCCCAAACCTGGAAAATAGCCACAATAATTTATTTTTTATTTTGTATAACAGTTTCAAGTTAGGGAGGAGTTTAAAATTATTTTACATCTACATAATAGGCCAATGTGTTGTACACAAAAAAGAAGCATTCAGACAGTAATGGGCTGCTGAGGAGTGCCATTCCACAGGGAATCACAATGGAGAGGAGTGTTACTGATGAGTGAAAAATAACTGGACAGATTCATGTCTCCTACTGTAATTACAGGCTAGAGACGAGAATGGCATTCATAATGTTAGACAGCAGGCGCACGTTTGCACTTAAATGTGCTCTTTTGACGCAAGATGGGCTGCCGTGTAAAAAAAAAATAAAATAAAAATGATTAATGCTGTGAAACATGTAAAAAAAAAAAAAAAAACCCGATTGCTATTACACTGAAGGAACACCAGGCTTGCATGTCTGAAATCTGTTTCAGCACTTTTTAAATGGTTCAGATTTCATATATCTGAATATGACTTAGTATTTCTGTCCGTTTTCAAGGTGAATTTATAGTAAAATTCATCAATCAGTCCCACTGTCACACCGGTTGATCAATATTTGATAATTCTTTCAGTCACTAGTTTTAGCTTCTAAATTGTAAAGGCTATTTGAATATGTCATGATTAAGTGATTTAAAAACCTGGCAGATTAATCATTAATGAAATAAGCCTATGTTGGCACAGGAAAACCTAAACGGGGTGTTGATGAAAGCAGCACAGTAGGCAAGAGATCATGCACAAAACGCAGTGACAAATACTAATGAAATAGAGCTTGGAAAAAAATAGAAAAAAAAAAAAAAAAGAGAACCCTGGGCAGTTTAACTAAAACAACTTAATACGTCTTCCTTCCACATTTTGACACTCACTGTTTATACGAGCTATTAATTATATTAATATGTTACATATTAGGGCCTGTCCTTATTATCAGATCACAACCCTGGAAAACACAACAAAAAGACACAGCTGAGGCAAGTTGGTGTTCTGTTATTTGTAAAACCTCACTGAAATTAATAATTAAGACAACAACAAAAAAAAAATCTTGAGAATAAATCACAAATACAAATCACACTAATGCAGCCAGTAATGTCATGCACTACAAGAGGCAGTAGGTGAGGAAGCACCTGAGTCACATCAAGCACGTAATTACTAGGCTTGACAACAACATATAATCTTTTACAGAACACGCAGCCATGTCACATAGCAAAAGAAATAAACCACTTGTGCAATTAAACATCATGTGCTCTTGTTAGAGAAAAAGTCTGAATAACTGGCTTTATCAAGTTTTTTTCAATTTGTCTGTTTGAACTCGATATTCTCTTCCACTGTGTACAAGTCTCAGCTGTACCATCCTCTTTTTTTTTTTAAAAGAAGGAAAAAAAAAAAAAAGAACAAAACATTTTGTGACTGCTGCGATGAGGAGAAGTGTCAGGCCAACAAGTTACCTTGATCTTGGTGTCGACACTGAGCAGGGTAAAAAGAATGTTCATGTCTATTAGGGCCTGTCTGGTCTCTCTGTACACTGTACCCAGGAAATTGAGAGGGAGGGAGAGCTGGAAGAGCAGGCCGTTCACCATCACCAGGTCTCCCACGGTCATTGTACCTACACGGCAGCAGCAGAGCAACATACAGAGATAAATGTAATCCTGTGCTATTGTATCATGGATGTATCTTTGTATACAAGATCTAAAAAAGCCATTTTTTCTTTCAAACCGTAAAAGCAGACAAAACAGTCTGAATCCATCTCCACCCCCTGTGATTTCATTTTCTGCATCAAGTCTACTTTATTTCTCATCCATGCCTCTTTTTCATGCTTGCTGTGCTTTGTTCTCATTTAGTTTCCATTATCCAGTTCAGTCAGGGTTTTTCTTGTCATTTTCATCTGTCCATTTGAATTTGTTTTGAAGTGTTTTCTTTTTTTTAAGCTTTCGCATTTCCAAGTGCACAATTTCCCCCACTGTGCTGTGGACGCAGATTGTTAGCAAAAACAGGTAAACTCAGGTCAGGTGATGATTGTTTTTTCGTGCCCTTACACTTGGATGGTACCCAAGATCCCATGGCTTACCAGTGGTTTTTAAATAATACCCCAAATCAAATCCTAAACCACACTTATACACCACCACCACCACTCAAAGCTCCTCACTCACTCACCTGCAGCAATGCCCTTGCTGGCCAGCAACATGATGGCAGTGATGCCTACACTGAAGATGGCATTCTGGCCAAAGTTGAGCATGGCGAGTGTCGACGTGGTTTTTAAAGAAGATGACTCATAGATCTTCAAGAATCCATCATACCTTTCAGCTTCATACTTCTCATTGTTGAAGTACTGCAGCCGAGATGAGAAACATCAAGAGAGGGATGAGAGAGGGGGCACAGGGCACAGAGACAGCAAAAGGATTTGTAGAAGGAAGGAGAGTGGAAGTTGAAAGAGAAAGAGGGAGAGACACAAAATATGGTTAAGGTTAAAGGTTAAGGAAGCTTGAAGAACAGTGTCAGGCAGGCAAACACTTTAGCGCAGCCTGCCTCAAGGCTGCATTTGTCCCCAGTGACCGTTCTGGGCAGGGTATGGGTCTCAGTTGGCCTCTAAAGCACTTTTCATGTCTCTCTGTCTTCATCTCCTCCCCAATGATCTTAGAGGAAGTGGAGAGTGACAGAACAAAATCCAGTGTCTGCTGTTGATCTGAACCTTTGGCAGAGGATAGGGGCTAGTTTAAGGAAAGTCTAATAAAAAAGAATCTTCACACTCTGAAAGATGTCTCAATATTAAGTTGTATTCTTTAGCTTAAAAAGCACATGGCTGATAGAGAACAAATGTTTCAGCAGAAGATTAGTTTAGAAAATGCTGTGACTGTAAGGAAAGCCTAAAATTTCACTTGAAAGTCATGCAAGAACTGTTGCAGAGTATTGATCACTGCATGTACATCTGCAGCAGCTTCCACAGAAACCTATCAACAGAGCACAAATAGCTCTCTTAAGTGTTGCACCATGCAAGCAGCACTAATTTTGATTAAGACATACAGCTATCATTTAGAAGGGGGAAAAAAGCCTAATGAATCAGCCACAAGCACACTACAGCATAATCATAACAACGACCCTCCTCAACTCTGCTGCCAATTACCTAATATTGCTGTTTGTTTAGTTTGCACTACTGTTTCTCTGCTCTGGTTAAGTGGGCGATTTGCTTCTCTAGCTAACAGCGGCGATGCTGTGTTGCTACAGACTTGCCAGTGATTTGCATATAAGGAAATGCAGGAAGTCAGCAAAAGGAGAAAATAAAGTGGCACATGGAGGACAAACCGAAACAGTGCAAAGCAATGTGTTCAGGTTCTCATCCAGCCCTTTGTGAAAGTGGAACGGATTTCTGAGTGGGCGGAGATCTAATTACATATGCACACTCACAGCTCTGAGTGATGCTAAATCTGGCCACATTGACACAAATGACACAAAATAACACAGAAGAACACGTTAAGAAAAACAGGACGCAAAATAATACAGCAAAGAAAATAACATGGGGACCAAAATATATCTGGAACAGTCAACAAAGCAGCTGAAGCTGGATGGTGCTTATGTTTTTATGTGTACAATGAGGCTACCTAGAAAAGGGCTTAATATAGCGAAAAATGTAGGATTACTATGTCACTGAGAAAAGCATAATGTTTCCATTCACATCACATCAGTTAGATGTCTTGTGAGAGCACACTCACCTATAAACCACCCTGGCCCTGAGCAGACATTTCCATTCAAAATAAAACCTCCAGTGGCAGGCACTTTCAGTCCAAAACTATAATTGAGATACAATTTGGGTCATTGACTAAACCAGGAAAATAGTTCTGAGTGCCTGGTGACAAATGTCTCATTGTTTATAGCAAGTGGCATGACATTTTAAAAAAGAGGGTGGAAAATTTCACACCGAGAAAGAAGTAAGCAATGTCACAACCCAAGAAATGTTGTGTTTGGAAGATTATTACTATTTTTTGACCATTTTCATTTTTGAAGAAGAAATGCCAAAGTCCACATATATTGTGAAGCTTTGTTGCTTTTCTTAGTCTTATATTATAGTGAACTCTGTATCTTTAAGTTCTGCAGTGTAAGTCTATTTGAATATGTCACTTTGGCCTTTAGAAAATTACTATGGATGTTTTTTCAGCATTTCTTGACATTTTAGAGATCAACAAAATCAATCAGTTGAAATGAAAATAATCATTTGAGGTCTTAGATCAATATATAAAAAAAAATACTATCCCAATTATTATCTCTGCATTATCACAATGTTGACAACTGACAATATTCACTCAAGTATTAAATATAAAAAGTTAAACTTGTTCATTCCATTGACTCTTAAGTATTTACTAAAATATATTTATTAAATATTTAGGCTGTCACACTCTTGTGGCAAAAATAAACTTGGAGTGACAACCACTACTGAACTCCACAGATTGCTGCTTACTTAATTGCTACCCAGTCGCAATTCTGATTGATAGTGCAGTTCTAATATTGATCCAGTATACACATCGCATATGCAGGACAAGAGACACACGTGCAAACATTTTACTGTCTTTGTAGTTCATCGAACAAGGTTCCATGTGCACACTGCCAACCTGAGTTTGTGGGCTTACACTAGTGTGACACTGCTCTGTAATAACTAGAGGAAACATGAAGACCACCTTTAAATAAATCTATAGCAGAGATTAACTGTGACTTGCTGCCCTTTCAGCCATAACTTTAAATCCTCTCACTCAGAGTTGCTTATATTTATCTTGCACTTGTTTTGGCAGAGTTTGTGGGTAAAAGTGCTTGGAGACAGAGCTTTTCTTTGATTAAAAGGCAAATTCTGACAGTGGCAATCATGCCAGTGAAACACTATTATCACGGACGAGTAAATATTTGTTCATGTCAATGTGCCTGGATTAAGTGAATAGATGAAAGACTAGAAAAAAGAATGACTGATGTGGGGAGGACAGGAAGGGATGGGAAGGAGCTGAAAAAAAAGGGTGAATTGGCAATATGTGCATGTGTGTGTGGCTGGATATGTGTGGCTGTCCATGGGGTTGGATCTCACCTTAACAGTCTCATAGTTAAGAAGAGAATCAATAGCTGCGTTGCCTGCTTCATTGTCTGCTTTGTTCATTTCTATCCGGAAACGAGTCCTGTGTGTGCAAGAACATACACAATGATGTAAGTACTTTCTCAAGTACATATTTCAGCCTATGAATGAGGCTTTTTACTAGCAGCACAAATAGCCACAGATTTGTTCAATGAATCTTTGACAAGTATTAAGTCAACAAACATAAACAATAAAAAAATGAAGTATAGACAGACAGAAAAACTACAAACATCCTTGTTGTTACCTCCACTGCGTGACAAGAATGGTGAAAAGGGTATATGCTGATAAAGTACCCAAGGCCACTGCTGCAAACTGCCCACCACACTTGTAATACTGCAGAGAGAACAGCAGTTAAGACAAAGCATCTTTTACAAGCTATGACTCAGCTGCTTTGTAACTAAAAACTAAAAAAAAACAAAGCCACCACATCAGGCCCCAGCGTTAGCATCACTAGGTATTTTAAGAGTACACTGTTTTTGACCATTCCACTGTGAAACGAGTGTTACAAATGGAGGGAAAACTACAAGAAGTAATTGTGCTAATGCTTTAGCTATTTGGGCAATGAAGTCTGCCCTCATTACAGGCAAGCTGACATTACAAAGTGGAATAATAGCAGAAAGCTATAGACAAACCCCTCTTTCAGTGGTGGCTTTGGGTTGGGGGGGGGCATCTGTTCAGGGCATACTCTGCAGGAGGACATTAAGCTGCTACAAAGCTTTGGGATTCATCACTGACACTAATGGGCTCTGTGTTGCCACCAAAAGTTCATGGGGATTCATATTCCATTTAGAATGTAAATGAGACAATATCCCCAAAATTAATTTCCGGACAATCTGCTGTGAAGAGTGTCAAGGTGATGGAAGGTCCTGAGCTAATATAAAGGACTGAAATGAAAACGGCAACAAAAAAATAAGAGCCAAAAGATTGTAAGCAGCGTTCCTGTTAGTATGCTACAATAACTAAATGGTCAGAGATAATGACTACTCATCTGAATGTCAGTTTCACAATGAAGCTCACCAGAATGGCACTGACGAGGCCCATCTCAAAGACTGTGGGTCCTAAATTGAAAACGAGTGCACTGAGGACAAAGGAGATGCCCCGTGTGCCGCGGTCGATGGCCTTGGACAGCGCTCCTGTCTGGCGGCTGAGATGGAAACTCAGATCCAGATTGTGCAAGTGGAGGAAGACGTTCTTGGCGATGCGTCGTATGGAGTTCTGGGCCACCTTGCCGAACACAGTGTTCCTCAGCTCGTTGAAGAGGGCTGCACAAGCCCGTGACACGCCATCTGTGATAGCGGAGGAGACCGGAGAGTTTAGCACACCTGCTGTGAAAAGCGGGGAGGTTCAAAAAGAGGGGCTGGGCACTAACAAGTGAGAATCTATCCTCATCCTAAAAAGTGAGCACTGTTATGAAGCAGCAAAACTAGAACCTGACCCATAGAACCTGACCCATACTAAATAAACCGTTTTTTTTTTACAAGGGAATCACTGAGTCGGTTCTCTGCTCATCCATCACTGTCCAATACACAGTTGAGACTGCAGAAAGAACAATCAGCACCAACCTGTCCTCCATGGAGGATCTGTACACCTCTAAAGTCAAGAGGCAGAGATCGATGGAGGACAAAGATTTCTGCAGACCCCCCTCACACCCTGGACACAAACTGTTTTCTGGATGGCGCTACAGGTCACTGTACGCCAAGACAACCAGACAAGGACGGTTTGTTCCCCAGTGCCATCACTCTCATGAACAGCTAATCCATGTTTGTCTGCATAACAGGATAAAAACACCCCAGCACAATCATTTGTAAATATAACCACTGTATATACTTACTGCAACTATTTTTGTCTCCTCTTCTTTTTCCTGTTTGAATGCACATATTTTCTTGCTGCTTTACAAAAGCACACTGAGAGCCACCAGAGTCAAATTTCTTGTGTTCAACCTACAATACTTGGCCAGTAAAGCTCATTCTGATTCCTTTACTGTAATAAGATGTAATACAGTACATCGAGACAGCTGAGACCAGACAGGGTTGATATGTTTGTCGAGTGCTATAAAGTGAAGGTTTGTATGAGGTGACAGGGCAGGTTTTTCACTTCATCTGTGGTCTACAAACCCTGCAGTGCTACAACAGCAGCCTGCCCTAGCCTCTGTAATTACAGAGTAGGATGCTGTCTGAAGCCTCACTACTATGGCAGGCCAGCACACTGCAGTCTTAGGAAAGGGAGGATATCTGAGTGTACACAAGTGTGTTGAGTGCGAGTGTGGTGGGGAGAGGAAAACGTGTGAGCACAACACTAGAAAAGGGGAAGGGAGTGTTATGGAAAAATGTGACTATGATTTTTCAGTGAATGGGTTTAATTTCACCACTGTCTGAGTCTAGACTTTCTCTGTCTGGTTTCTATGATGTGGTTGAATGCAAGAAACAAAGCATTTTTGACGATACCTTTATTGTTGCATATTTTGGGTGTTTTGCTCTAAGCAAACTGCCTGATATACCAAAGACCAATAAGGGTTTCAGTTCAGTTAAAAATCAGCAATGCAGATCCAAGAAATTGTTTGTTTTTTTGTTTTTTTTTTTATCCCTTACACTTCTCATAAACTGTTCTACAAGCAGATGGCTAGCATGTCTGTCAAATTAATATCAGTCTGTGTTTGAATGGCACGTGGTCATCCTGTGGCAATTTCACCGGGTTGTGTGAACATCACTCTTCTGCAGAAACCAAAGTCAGGGTAATAATTGCTCTGTCTGCCAGTCTTCATAGGGCTGTAATGTGGCATTAAATAGAAATGCTCATCTAATGAACAATGTGTCCACATCTGACAAGGTAGGATGAGCACTGTGCAACCTTTTCAGACAAATTACGCCTGTCACCACAGGCTCCAAGTACTGGGCCCAGAGCGTTGCAGAGAGAACAAAAAATTACAATCTTTTCTTTAAGAGCATCTCCTTCATTCTTCCTCATCATAAATCGCTCTGTCTAGAGTCCTGTTCATGTGCTCCAATTACTCAACAGGAAGCATTAGCGTGCAAGACGTAAGTGGGCTCATTAAAATAAGTGGCTACGGGGCTAAGTGTACATTGCATCTGAGCTGATCTCACTCGAGGCCAGAGTGACTTGCAGTAGGTGTCAGGTTTATAACAGTTATTTATTTATTTATTTTTTGCTTTTCATCAGCATCTCAGTGGAAAAGAAAATACTCTAATCAGGAAGGAGCTTCACATTCACACTACATCTCACCTATGACTCCTCTTGTATTCACAGGGCCCATTTGGACAAAGAGGAGAGAACAAAAAAGGAGGCGCTCTTAAGGGATGAAGTGAAAGAAACATCCCTGGCCTCTGTGTAACACAAAAAAATACTAAACTACTTTCAAAACACATTAGCAATCTCTCCCACACTGCTTTAGAAATGTATACAGCACTGTTTGCCTTGGGAGCACACAGGTATCATACTAAAAAGTCGTCAGCACTCACAAGACGGCTGTGTGGATTAAAAGAAGTGAACTTCGATGCAGAGCAGAGCACCTAATGTAAATAATATGAAGGAGAGACTGAGGTTGCGGAACGGCATTGATATGAATGTGTTGGGAAAGGTCAGCCTGTAGATAATAGGCAGTCCCACAGTCCCCTCTGATGAGCGCAGCACCTGCCAGTGCAATACAAGTCTGGGACTCACAGCCAATCAGCACAGCCGTTGCCATGGTAGCCACGGTGCTTGGCGCGTCATTCAGGTTCAGCATGTGTCCCGACATCTGGTTAAGCTCGTCCACTGCATACTTAAACATGAAGGGCACCGTCACATTGGTGATCTGGGAAGGCAGAGAGGGAGGTAGGGAACATTCAGAGAGGAAGAGAAGAAATAGAGAGGAAAGAGTTTCAAATAGCCCATTAGTCAAACATATGCTCAGTATAGCCCAGTGCCATTTTCCTAGTCCTCTGTAGTATCTCTCTAGGGTGTCCATGGGTGTGCATCCAGCATACTCACAAAGATGGATTGTCACTGTTGTTAGGCAGAACAGCAAACATATTCAGGTGCATTCACGTATATGTAGGTATGGTATATATGCTGTGTGAACATGAATGCCGTGTGTATTCTTCTTGACTGGCTGTGCTGGTGCTTCCCGCTAATGGAATTGAAATGGCTATTACAGCTAATTAAAAGCACAGGGACAGCTGTGTGACTCAGGCTAAGCAGTGCGCGGCACATTAGGGCAGCCAGAGAACACAGCAGCACACAGCGAAGCATTTTCATTTGAAACCCATTTCATGTGAACCTCTCAACCCCTAACAGAGAGGAGGGCTTTTTTTTTTAAACTTTCCTCTTTGTTCCTTTACTTCTGTCAAATTTTAAATAATTTTGATAAAATAATATTAAAAATTAAATGCATGTTGTCCTTGCTAGTGTAAAATAACACCTAATAATACACCATTTATCCTGCAAAAGCTCCATCTCCAGGGTTCTTGCTTTATACACCTGGGTATTGTACTCAGACAACAGAAATCCTCTGAAACCCTCAAGGAAAAACAATATCTGCCACTTTGCTACCAAGACAACAGAACATGACACAAAAATAGCCTGTGCCTATTATCACAGGCACAGAACATATCCTCAGTTTTACCTCTAATACATGATAAGGTGAGATGTGCTTTTTTAATCCATTAACAGCCAACACTGGAGATTGTATCGACACCATGTCAATCTGTACCTGGCAATATGTCATCTCATAATAGAGATATTGTGTGAAGTGGTGGAGAAGAGGCTTCAGGCTATCAAGAATTAGCTCAAGCTTATAGTGTGGCACACAGACTGGCTTTGTGTGAGGCCAACAAAAACAAGACCTTCCATATAATCTGTTATTTGGCATGGAAATGTCACCGATAATGTGGAGTACAGAGGTGTGATGCACTGTACCCACATAATTATTCAGTTGATTTAAAAATTGCCTCTACGCTGCTGGTGATTCCAGTTCAAACAGACACACTGGAGAAATTAAGGCTAACTCCAGCCAAGCAGGAAAATAGGAGGAAAAGATTAGACTGCATGTGTGTTGTTCTCTCCTCCTTAGCACACACTAGAGGGAGCCATGCTAAGTGGCAGCAGGACATCCTTATTTAGGAGCTGTGAATTTGTCATTGTTTTCCAGGGTGCAAATTAGGAGCCATCAACAAAGAAAGCTAAAATACACTCATTGAGGCTTCCTACTAATAATTATTTCAAAAAATACTGTAAATTTCAAATGCACACTTTTTAACATGGGTCCATTACAAAGTGTAATCCCAGCAAGCACTATTATTGTTTGACAAAAAAAGGTGGTAGAGAGTTGTAATTTCCTCTAGTAGGGATGTGGTTTCCATTAAAACATTTTATTTATATACACCCAGGACGTTACTGTGTTTTGAAAACGGCCTTCAGTAGAACTACAACACTGTCTGAATCAGAGATTTACATCAACATTAAGGGTAAAATTATCAATTACCCCCAGAACAGTATTTTAAAAGGGGAGATACAGAGGCAGAAATGAATAATTCTGCTTGGTAAGAAAAATACTTCATATACAAAAATATGTAGAAGTAAATAACCAGACATGAGGTTTCCTTAAGCTATCCGTGCACCACTTTGCTGTGAAACGACTTTAATAATCTTTAATAGACCTGGTTGAGCACTGGCATTATTTATTGATTCCTGAAACTTGTTTCACAGACAGCAAGAACTTAAAAAACCGACCTCTGACACCTAAAAAGTTTAGTTTAATTGACGTCAGTGGCAAGCTTGAATTGTTATTTCTCTCTTTTGCTGTATTTCACTGCTTTATTGGAAAAGGTGGGGATGGTTCCTTTACTGCAGTGAGCGAGGCTCTGGATCTCAGCAGCCACTTACATGATTTGTTCTATTTTGTTGTGCATTATTGACTACTAAGATGACAAGTGATTAGAAAACATCACTACACCAGTTTTGCCAGAGGGAAAAAATATTTCAGACATGATTTACTTGGCTTATCCAAGAAGGACGATGGCAAATTCACTTCAGCTACATGTCCTGTATATACAGTACATTATGTCGATTGCCCTACATATCTGTATGTAAAAGTGCTTTTCTTCATGGTCTCTGTTCAATAAACAAATGAATAAATGCATTTTTATCAGATTAATAAAAGTGAGAATCAAGAATTTAAGCCCAGCCTGTGCAACAACAAGCTTTAAATTAAATAGATCTTGAAAAACAATCTTTTTTTCTGACCAAGTATCTGATAGAACTAAGGTCATAATGTATTCAAGGAGAACATTAGCCATTGTGAAAAAGTTTTACTTTAGGGCAGAAGAAATAATCAATGCAAAAAGCAGAAGTTAGCCTAAGTCACCAAGGATAAATAAGCAACAAAGACTGGAGCTTCATTGTTAAGTGGCTTGACTTCACATAATATTGTCATTTTGTGGGGTATGCAGAGATAACACTGCTTTGATCAAACAGATTAAATCAAATTTATATGATAAAAAATTATAAAGAACTAAAACAGTCAAGAACCCCTCTTTGCTACCTATAACACTGTCTGAAAATATACCTTGGCTCCAGCTAGCAGGCCCAAAGAGATGCCAACACGGGCCCGCAGGTCTGGCCTGTCCCTTGGCCATACATAAGACAGCATTGCAGACAGGATCTTTGCTGAATTCACCTCCTTCAGCTGTGGAGAAGGAAAAAAGCAATGCTTCTAATTAGATCACAGTACCCATAGCTTGAAACAAGTCTGTCCTGTAAAATATGGGTCAAATGGGTACAACAGCATTTATTAACAAATGATAACTTTCTGATCTACCTTAATTTTTGCCAGTTTTGGCTATTACCTTGCATTTTGCTTTCAGTGTGACAATTAAAATAATGTAAAGATGTCTCCCTGGGCACATGGCATGCAACATCAAATGTCAAGGGAGATCTGGGAGAAGCAACAACAGAGACCCCAGGTGAACCTGGGGACCCCGCCTGACACTACAAATCCCAGGAGACACCTGGGCTGTCATCCCAGCTGAGGTTGAGAGCCCACTGATGCCAGCATGGCTGTTTACCCACACTCCACCACACACCTGCCACAGGGACTCTCCGCAGGCCAAACAATATGCAGTAATACCTTTAATCCGCTCAATATGGTGGCACCATGTTACAGCGCTGCTGTATGGCAGCACCTCTGAGCAAATTACCATGAAATTGTGCCCAACACCTGTCTTTAATTAAATCCAATCGTGCTTTATGTGACACTACAAAGAGAGGATTAACAAAAAAAGTTGAATGAACTGCTGGAGGTTTCTGTAACATATGTGAAGGAGACCCGTTAATGTATAATTAAAGTCTGTTAGACTAAGTTCATGTCAGGTTTTTGTTTTTTATTTAAAAGTGTCATAGTAGAGCGCTGGGCCACCACGTGTCTCAGGGTTGATTCTACAATTCTCCTGAAGCGAGAACACTGACAGGAAGTAGCCAGAGATCATATTCCTCGCATGTTAGCTTCTCTTCATTGGCTCCCTGTAAAATCCAGAACAGAATTTAAAATCCTTCTCCTAACATACAAAGCCCACAATGAAAAAGCTCCAACATATCTTAATGATAATTACCATTATTGGCCTAGTAGGTTACACACACTAGGAATATGTCTCTGGTACAGAACTGAGGCAGCCACCTGTAGCACCAACTCTCTCTCTCTCTCACACACACACACACACACACACACACACACACAGATGGCGGCACTGCCCCTGCAAGGTGCTGCTCTGACCATCAGGAGCAACTTGGGGTTCAGTGTCTTGTCCAAGGACACTTCACTTCTGGTTTAAGAGCCTGACACCATCTCTACTTTTAAGATTAGGCTATAAACTTTTCTTTTTGATAAAGCTTATAGTTAGGGTTGGCCCTGAACCATCTCTCAGTTATGCTGCTAAAGGCCTACACTGCTCCTCACATGATGCTCTGAGCATCTCACCTCTCTCCTTGCATACTGCACCTCTGCGTATCATTAACGGTGTCCTCTCTCTCCCCACCTCTACCTTTCTGCTGGTATCCCTGGCTATGAAGCTATACGTTTCTGAGGAGTAGTTACTGGCCCCACTGACCTGCCCAGTGTTTGTCTGTTGTTTCTTGATGCTCTTCTTTTCACTCTCTGCTCTAAACAGCTCTACTCCACTCACCCCAACCAGTCAAGGCAGACAGCCACCCACACTGAGCCTGTTTCTTCAGATAAAGTGAATTTTTCCTTCCTACTATCGCTTTGCTCAAGGGAGATATGTTGGGTTTTTTTCTATAATATTGTAAGGTCTTGACCTTACTTTGTAAAGTGCCATGAGATGATTTTCTGGTGTGATTCAGTGCTATACGCTGAACTGAACTGAATTACTGGAGGAATGAACATTCTTCCAAAAGATATTCCCTCATTTGGTGTTTTGATGAAATGAATCTCCCATAGGTGCTCATCTTGGTTGAGATCTGGTGACTGCAAAACCCATAGCATATGATTCACATCATTTTCATTCTCATCAAACCATTCAGTGACCCCTCATGTCCTACAGATGGGGACAATGCCACCATGGAAGAGACCACTTATCACTCAGGTTTCCCTTTAATTCATCACCCCTCTGCATTATTATTTTTAACATTGTCAATAACTAAATCACCAGCCTTAGAGATCATAAACGACTGATATCAGCACAAAAAAGTAACCCCAAATAGCATCCCAAACACACAGCTGAAAACCACTGGACTGATAAAACCAGATATCAGCAAAGACGCCACTTGAATCTTTGCTAACTTGGGAATGACATTTGTTGCCATTTTCGAAATTCTAAAGTGAAGCAATCAGGGCTGTCCCCAAATAGTTGAGTCATTAGTCAAGGGAGTTGTCAGTTGACTAAGACTACTAGATGATCCTTTGAGTTAATTTTATTGGATTTAATATTTTGTCAGTCACTGTACATTACAATAGAAGGTACTAGGAAACTAACAAAAATGCATGGAGAAATTATTTCAATGAGGAATTATAAATAAGGAATTGTTCGCAGTGCAAGCTGGCATACATCAAAAGACACAGTAACAACATACTGTACATTGTGGTTGACTGACAGGAGATGTGCAAACCTGTTGGTAAACTAGACCACAATCATGTCTCAGAAGAAAAAAAGAGCCCATAAGAGCATTGTTTCAACAGAATACAAGCGTGCTGCCTGTCTGGTTGTTCGGACAAATCCATATGGCAGCCTGACATTATATATCACCAATTTAAATAAGTTGCAATTTAAATATAGCATCATAAGCAGTTGTCTTTTATTGATTTTTAAATGCTCGGAAATATGTTTCTGTAAATCTTTTGCATTTAAATACTGATAATGTGGTCGACCAACACAAAATTCATGCTAGTTGATTTTCTGACAGTCTAGGCTATAAATATATATTAAAAAGGAAAGAAAGAAAAAGAACGAAGTCAAATGGTTAAGCTGAAGAAACAACTGACGGTCGACTGACAAAATCATTAGTCGGGTACAGCCCATAGAAGTGTGATTGAAAATAATCATTGATTGCAGTTCACATGTGCTTTTTATTTTGTGTATACATGCAAAATGAGTGCTTTCAAATAGCAGCACAAAACTCTTCAATAACCAAAGACTAAAAGAAGGCACTGTACTCACAACATTTTTTGGATCTGCACTTAGCCCTCCTCCCGCATGTCCATGCCAACATGTTCGTTTGTCTGTCACCTGCAAATGCTGTAAAAAGGGTACATTATTTTTCAAGGTTTAATTTTGATAACAGACACTGATTTACTATTATTTCTCAAAAATACTCACTTTTGCTGCCTCCAAAATCTGTCGACTGTTTTCGCTCCTGTTTGTACTCCATGTAGCGGTCCGTAAGGATGGAGTGGAACTCAACTGAAACACATGCGATGGCTTATTTAACTCATGTTTATGATTTCTTCTGGCTCTTTTTTATGGATGTTCATGGATGTTTTTATTCAGAAACACTGAAACTCACTGATCAACAACTGAACAAACAAAACTTCCACAAAAAAAGTAAAATAAACCAGAAACACATTTAATTCCAATACAAGCACTAAAGATTTTCTTTGGACCAAAGTCAGGGTTAAAAGGTTATGCAAGGGTTGGGAACTTATTGAACGAGCATATGAACTGAAGAGAAGTTGCTTATAGTTGTTTTTGTGATAGCGTTCTCTTTTTTCCCCACCATGAATTCATTTTAAGCAACATAAAATCGACCAAGCAGTGCAAGTTCAGAACTTTTCTGAGTGAGTGAAATGAAGGGAAGAAATCACTTCAAAACCTCTGGTTATAAACAACTTTTGTGAGGCTGTGAAAACGGGTTCAATTTAAGCACAGTCACCATTTATGAAGGCTGAAAACTAACACGCCTACAGGGGCTGCATGATTGATAATGCAAGATATATTGCGAGTGGTCTAAGATAAGTACACTGAGCTCAAACACAACTTGTGCTGTTGGTACATTTACACTAAGCATCTTACATACTGTATTTTTACTGGTGATATTAGTGAGCCATTATTTGTAGTTTTTTTTTATATCTTTAAGGCAGAAGAAAGCAACCCATAAAGACACATCTGTGAAGCACTATAGATGAATAAAAACACACACACACACACACACACACACACACACACACACACACACAGTTTAAGGATTACCTTTTAGACCGGGGCTATTGTGTAGCTGAATCAATCCCTACATAAGTATTTGTGATTAGTATACTAAACACAATTCTGCTACACATTATCTTAAATCACCTATTATGATCTTAAATTATCTAGTGTTTATTGCTCTGGTATTTTATCTATTCTTTGCTGACTTTTTATTAGGTTTGACACACTTTTTAAATCTATTATATAGTACTGTGCAGGGCATACATGGAATGCCATAACCAAGTGGCTGGCATAGTGTACAGAAACATCTGTTTGGGGGCGACTGTGGTTCAGTGGGTAGAGCAGTCATCTCCCAACCGGAGGGTCGGAGGGTCGAATCTTGGTGCCTGCAGTCCATGTGTCGAAGTGTCTTTGAGCAAGACACTGAAACCCCAAGTTGGATCTGTTGGAGCCACTCTCCCAGTTTGGGGGTCGCAGCCCCCAATGTTCCTATTACCACGGGGACCACTTGTGCCTTCACCTTCCACATCTTTTCTAGTTCTTCTTTCAGCCCTTAGTATTTCTCAAGCTTCTCATGTTCCTTCTTCCTGATGTTGCTATCACTTGGGATTGCTACATCTATCACTACGGCCTTCTTCTTCTGTTTGTCCACCACTACTATGTCTGGCTGGTTGGCCATTACCAGTTTGTCAGTTTGTATCTGGAAGTCCCACAGGATCTTAGCTTGGTCATTCTCAACCACCTTTGGAGGTGTATCCCATTTTGACTTTGGGACTTCCAGCTTGTACTTGGCACAGATGTTTCTGTACACTATGCCAGCCACTTGGTTATAGCGTTCCATCTGTGACCCTGCCTGCTAGCATCTTGCACCCCACTGTTATGTGCTGGATTGTCTCAGGGGCATCTTTGCACAGC